CAATCTGATTGGTCAACTACATATTGTAATCTGATTGGTCAACTGCACAATGTAATCTGATTGGTCAACTACATATTGTAATCTGATTAGTCAACTACACAATGCAATCTGATTGGTCAACTACATATTGTAATCTGATTGGTCAACTGCACAATGTAATCTGATTGGTCAACTACATATTGTAATCTGATTAGTCAACTACACAGTGCAATCTGATTGGTCAACTACATATTATAATCTGATTGGGCTACTAAATTATGTAATCTGATTGGTCAACTACACAATGCAATTTGATTGGTCAACTACATAATGCAATCTGATATTTATCAACTACATATCAAGTGAGATTGAATTGTCATACCTTAACAAGCTTTGATATATTCCTATAGGCAGATATTGGAAGAGTTACTAATACTGTTGATAAGCTGATAACAAAATAGCGATTGGCTAACACATGCTCCGAGCCAACTGGAGAAAAAAGAAGAAGATGATGGAGTGGTAATGTATGTCATGAAAAACATGCAAATAGAAAATTATCAAAATGTTTGAAATGGAGTGTATCATTTATACCCATCACCATGGCAACCACACATGTTATTGTAGTTTCTAGGTTCAATTAATGTTCTGTAACAAAATTTGAAGCCAACTGCAGGGAAACAATTGCATCTTATAGTAGTATACATGCAAATCAAAGTAGCTTTTCTAGTGAGTATATATACTGCCCTCTATAGTTGGATTGCCTGTGAAAGGATAAATACTCATTGAGTTCACTTGGTTTTAGTTTCACTCACCTAGAAAGACAAATTCTATGATTAACTTTGCCTACTCACTGGGTTTTCAATTTAGTGTAATCAGTGAAATAAGTACGAGTAAAACCTAGCAAGTAGTTAAGTTCTACGCATAGAGTAGGTCTAGAAATAACACTGAATACCATGTTAATCAAAGTAAACACCGTGGTGTGCACGACTCAAACCACCACATACATACAACACCACATCACTACTTATATTATCACTGCATGTCTTCTACTCAGCAATCAGGCATCGCCAAAAAAAGATGCTTTAATCAAATAACCTACAGAAATCCTGAAAACATTCTACGCCACACAACATGAAAATATTTTAGTCAAAGTCGAACCCAAATAAACTGATATTCATGTTTTATGTCCAAAAATATATATGCCTTATTTTTTACACCATTCGCATATAAATAAAACATTTTTTACAGATTTGGTCAAAAATGATCCAAAAAATTATAGAAATATTGCTTAAAATTAGGCAAAATGTTGCAGGAAAATATTGGCGGGAAAAATATAGTGCTCAAAAGGTTGACAGCAATTGCATACAATAAAAATATCTTATGGCCATCCTCGATTACTATTTTGCCATCTTCTCATGATGGTTAGGTTATATTGGTGGAAATGATATGGTTATGATGAATGTAATAAGTAATCGGAAAATGAAAACAAATAATTGATAAGATTTTTTGATTATGATAAAAAAATCTAATATGTTTATTAGCATGAAAAGAAAGATTAGAAGACAGTAACAGGTACAAACATGCTACTTACGCGCTGCTGACGGTACTACAACAAAACACGTAGAATAGCAGTGAGAATAGTGAAGGTAGGATAGCAAAATATATTAAGTCAGCAAGAAAACACATTTTTTTACTGATACATTAGAAAAAGTATTGAACACCCTCTGTGAGTATGAGTGCATGGGATACCGTGGGGATAATGCAGCTGTCGGTTCACAGCACAATTCAGTGTCCAGATACATTCAATAGGAACACAATTAACACTCGACAGTATTGTAAAACATCACAGCTAGAAATTTTTAAAATAATAATTTTTGAGCTCATGGAAACAAAATAAACTCCCTGTCTTGAGGCCCTGTGAAATATTTATTACAAAAAAAAAATATTGATTTAGCGAAGATCTAAAAATAAATTGCAAGACATTATCAAATTATCAGTGTTTTACTGATGAATTTTTCTTGATTTTTTTAGATCTGTTTACAGAAAATACAGATGTCTGTAGGGCACGACCATACAGTATATAGTATTTATCATGCAGGCTTCATTTATTGTGTTCAAGGATAAAATGACTTTAAATTTTTGCCATCATGACGAATTTTGTCATTTTCATCAATGTTTCTTGAAGTTTGTTCTCATTTTATTGTTACAGTACTGCAATTTGTCTAGTTTTTCATGTAATCATTTATTATTTTAAGAATTTTATGTGTTTTGATTAAGTCAAAGTCCCTTAGATATAAATTATATTACTCCTGTAATTTCAAAATAGTATAAACTTTGACAATATAAAGCAATATAAGGAGTTTTTTTTTTTTTTGATCTTCACCAAAATATTTTAAATGTCATAAGAAAAAAACAGAACAAAAAAATTGTTTCTTCAACATATATCAGGACCAGAAACTGTTTTTTTATTACCAAGGAAAAAAATCCTTAAAGACCTTCCATTATGAAAATTGTGACTACTGGAGAATAAGCTTGGAATTTATTCTCGCTATTTTCACTTCAGTGAAAATAAAGTCCAGTGAATACACGTTTTTTTCCAATATTTCACATTCTACTCATCAAAAATCAGTGAAAATAAATTCCATACAAAACACCCAAAAAGTCTTTTCAGTGAAAATTAATTCCAGCTAAAATAAAGTATTTTACAGTACTTTCAATGTCAGTATGTATATGCATATAGATTGCACATCAGCATAACCACCTGCATAACCTTTGACCTGCAGCACATCTGCTCTATGGATTAAATGGATTTACTGTATTGACTTACTTCTGAATATCCTCATGAGCACTTTAGTCATTGTGTCACCAATGATAATATTATAGCTGATCATGGCTGGAATAATAAAGAACACAAATCAACTCACATATATCATGTCCACGAATGAACAAATTCACTGTCAGAACTAGGCTCCTGAAAACAAACCCACTCCCACTCCCCTCATTTTCACTCGTTAGTCGCTGCACAGAAAGTGTAATAATTTGTGTAAATAAACAAAGTTTATTACATGCATTGTATGCATCAAGTGGGACCCATAGATTTCATCCTGCCCCCCATTTCAGGGTCTGCCATTTTTCGGCCTCACGCGCTCCCCTCTGATCTCTTGGTTTCTTGATGGCTACCTCAGACCCCCCCCCTTTCGGCTTAGCAGGTCATCCTTTGCCAAGGGGGATCTGACTCGCTTGTGGGATGGGAGAGAAGCCCCCTCGCCCAATTTATTTATTTCTGTTTTAATGTGAGTATTAGTTTATAGCTTTGTAATTTTAGTCTTTGCCTGTTTGAGTTTATTAGGTTATGGTTTGTAATTTTATTTTAGTTTACCGGTATATTTTGATTTTTGCCTTGCCGTTGCTGGTATACCATCTCTGTTGTACATGTGTGTTATTTACATGAGTCATATTTTAATAAATTTCCTTGCAATACTTTACCTGTTTGTAGTGTTTTTTTACAAAAGGACAATAGTGGTACTTTAATTTAATAGATCGGGTCATTATTTTCAATTCATATATTGACTGAAAAGATTGTAGTACACGTACTCCTAAAAATTTGACGATATTTGTAAAAAATAACATGAAACACAAACACACCAGAGAGCTTATGACCCTCTATGAAATAAACTTTCCCTTTGTAAGGCCAGACTTTTATTATCCCTTGTTTCGCAAACCCGCCGAATGAACAGGAGCCGAAAATGAAATAAGGTTTTCCGCCCGCCGCATAACAAACCCAAGTTGCATTTTCGTGGGAGTATCATGATCAAAGTAGATGTAGTAGTAGTCTCGCGCAGATGAAAAATTGCCCTATAAAAACTCGAGAAACAAGGAGTAAAAAAAGTCTGGCCTAATTACAAACTAAGCTTCTAATCCTTCATAGATTGAATCACGGCCGAAACATCTTTGCTGTCTTAGTAGAGTGTTTTCCTCAAAACGAAGTTTTGTACTGTGAGATATTAACTATTTGCCAGGGTTATCAGTGCTCCCATAATGTTCTTGCCATATCACAATCATGTTGCTGCCATGGCAATTACAATTGTTCTCATCTTGTTACAACACATGGTAGTTACATGTATATACTAAGTATTAAAGCAATTGAAATGGTAGTTTTTGAGAAGAAGTTGAAAATAGCATTTTTTACCAAAATTATGAAAAAATTATAATTAATTATAAAAATACCAAGTATCAGAGTAATTGAGCCGGTAGTTTTTAAACAGAAGTTGAAAACAGAATTTTTTTATCCCAGATTACAAAAAAAATTTGCTAAAAATAAAGATATGAAGATATCGTCATGAAATGAACAAATCTGACAGAGTGCCACCCATGGTACCTAGATACCAAGTATTAAAGAAATTGAGCTGGTAGTTTTTAAAAAGAAGTTGAAAATGTAATTGTTGATGGACAATCATCTGTATATGAACAGCTCGGCTCTGTCATCAATGTTGACAGAGAATCTAAAAAAAGCTACTACAGTCTGTAACAGAATAGTGTTATGGATCAACAACATCATGTGAAGAATTGGGGTTTGTGCATTACCATTTCCATAGATATAGATCAGATACAAATTATGTGAATTTTCCATGACGATACTTACAATAATGATGAAGCATCAAAAAGGTTACAAGGTTAAAAGCATTGCACAATTATATGTCTCATAAGGGGTTTCCCATTTTAAAACTTGGGGACGGGGTGTAAGAATTATTGCTGTGAGATCGTGAAAAAAAAAATTGTATAACTGAATAATAAAATATGGGTACATACCAATGAATGGATATAGAAACTGTATTGCTGATAACCAAATGTAGCCTGGCTTACCAAATGCTGCCCTCACAAGGTCTTGGTAGGTGTTAGTACCGGAAAGATGGCCGCCTTTAATGAGAAGGACTAGCGAGTAATCTACAAATGAAATGAGACAAACTTGACATTTAATACAAAAATTGACACAGTGGCTTTAAAAGACAAATTTATTGAAAAAATGAATTATTAGCACATTCTGAATTAGTACATATGCAAATATAAATTATGTTTTGCAGATTAGCATAATAATTTATATTTATTGCTGCCCAATTCATTGCTCAATTGTATGTAACATTCACCAGATGGTCTTGATGGGTATAATTGCCTGAAGTCCTACTGTCTTCAGTCTCAGTTCTACATTCATGATGTCAACAGTAGCAATTTAGATATTTTTACTTTTGGGTGATCATTAGAAACTCTGGAAAACTGGCAGTGGCAGAAAACTATGCAAAATATGCTGTAATTTCTTTATCTCTTCTTTATCTTTTTTCTGTTATTGGTCCTGCAGGATGTTTTTCCATGATATTTTCCTGTGCGATTTTTTTTTTTAAATTTTGCTATCGTCCCCCTCCCTTCCAGTTTCCAAAAGTTCACTCCTTACTATAATTATTTCATTACAGCGGAGGTCGATGCGACAATGTACTATCAAAGTGCATACTTTGAGGTTTCCTCGTAATAACCTTATTGTGTAGAGTCTGGTCAAACTCTGGTGGCAGCCAATCATTCGCATAATCATTCCATATTTGGAATTCGCATTTCCTAATATGGTAGGATGAAAATAACACGTAAAATACCACCAAATTATGGCACGCTGTAACTTATGGCGTTACAGATGTATAATAATGCTTTTTGTGTGTATGCCATGATATTTAAAGTTGAGAATGAATTCCATTTTTGAGTCGCACAAGACATTGCTGAAATAATTAAAAGTATACAATATTTCTTGAAGAAAGTGAAAATACAAAATGTAGCAGTAACACATGTAGAAATAAGCATATTAAATAAAGCGGTTAATATCTCATATCTCTGTTGAATTATTCTGAGTTAGACACATGTGAATATAATACATGAATTTAATTATTATACCATATGTTAACTCAACTGTAATTGACATACCCATACAAAAGTTTCCTATAGAATTCCTATAGGACAAATAGCAATCCTATAGGATTTTGTGTCAGGAAATAAGTTCATGGTCAACCATCAAATACTATGATGACAAATGGTCAAACAAAGTCTTGCCTGCAATGGGTATGACTGTTAGCTAACTACACAGTAGTTAAATAACTACACAGTAGATTTGGTCTACATTAGAAACACATCTCTTGTGCTTGTAGCACACTAAAGGAATAAACTGAAGATTGGATTAATAATAAGCATTAAAAATATTACCGGTACCTATTTCAATAGATTATGTATGCAGCTTTGCAGGGAATTTTGAAATATTCAGTGAATGGATCAATAACCCCTTTTACATCCACTGTAACTTTTCTCACCTTAGCCAAAATGGTTTTGTTAAAATATGCATTTTATTCATCACATTATGGTGTAATGTTCTCCATGTATGATTGATTGATTTGAGAACTACAAAAAAAAGAAAAAAGAATCTCTAACCCAAATTTTCATTTTATTGTATACTGGATAATTAAAATGTCACTTATTTTGACCATGTACCTGTGAAATTTACATTATCACATCTGCTACTAATCGAACAAATACGGGGTGTCTTGAGAATATTTAGTATTACTTACCTGTCACTATGGCAACCCCAAACATAAGAATAAAACCCAGTGGTAATCCGGCACTACGCATTGCATATGGCATTCCTACAACAACAAAAACACACACACACACACACACCAAAAGTTGACTATTAGAAAGTAGGTGGGGGCGGGGTTGTATAATAAGCTATTGAATTTAATGTAGTATGATTTCTGATTGTATTTAGTAATAACTGACTATATATATGATGAAATTTCAATTAACTGAATCACTTAGTTTTGTTGTCTAAGACACCATAAAAGGAATGTTTATAACATGAAAAGTTATAATAAATATCTTTACTTTACACTGGGTATTATATGTATGGACAGCTCAAGATTCAATGGGGAGGGGTCATTCAAGTCATTTACCATGATTCTATCACTACTAGACGGAAAATAAATCTATATGCCATACCACAGAAAGTACTCTCGAAAAAAACCCAGCCGTTAGTCGGCCATTTTGAATCAAATCGCTTAACAGAATGAAATGCATCAGAAAATTATGCCCGCATGAGTTTCAATGACATTGGCCCTGAAGGCATGTTCGAGAAATGGTCCGTGACAGTTAGAACAAAAATGGTCAGTAGTCAGTAACCGGCCATCGATTCTCAAAATAAATTGATTTCATATGTATACAATTACATCCTATTTTATCAGCTAGCTTTAGTCGTGCAAGTACATTAGAGAAATTACTTCAGATAGATGCAGTACATGTTTTCTGACTGTCGAAGCAGAAGATAAAAATAGACATTGAATAACAGCTCTGGCCATTCACTGCTAGAAATAAGTGATTATAACTTACCCAGAATGCCAGAGCCTATGATACTGTTTATACTATTGATGCTAGCTCCGGATAAGCTGCTCTGACCTTTTTCGTTATCTTTATCATTTTCAACCAACTTTGCATTGTCTGCAGTTGTTTCTGTCTGCAATTTAAAAGAAACAAATATCAAAAGGCTGTCTGTCAGATGATATTTCTCTGCACTTTTTTCTTATATTCTTCAATATTTCTGGAAGTGAACCTTAATTTTGGAGCCAACAAACAAAATTTGAGTCAATTTTCAGTTTTTCCCCAAAAAATTTGGCTATTTTTGTTCAAATTCTCTGAAGCAAAGTGCAGACTATAAACAGGACTATTTTGTGAATTTGGGATGAAAGAGGGAACTGGTGGTGATGAGGTTAGAAGAACTGAATTGCACACTTAAATGAACTGTCAAAACTAGGCTAAGTCAAAGAAGCGATAGACAGAGAATAAGGTTGGGCAGTCAGGGACTGCTGACGATAATTTATTTCATAAACCGGCGCTTGGTTGGCGCATGCGCAGAAGCCACCATATGAAAAACCCCATATGGAAGGATACATCCCTGTGAGGTAATAAAGTACCTCAAAAACTATAAACTACAAAGCTCAAAATCTGTAACTACAAACTAAATCTATAAAAACTACAAGCATAAAATAAACAAAAAGGGAGGGTGGGTTGGGGAAACAACGCCTGCCATGTGTGTCAAGCCAGCTAGCCAATACTCTCAATCTGTAATGCCGCAATATATAGTGCCAAGATGTTAGCCACGCTAGCTAAGATAATCACATGTTTAGCTTAAAAACAATCAATCAATCAAGACTATAAACAGGACTATTTTGTGAATTTGGGATGAAAGAGGGAACTGGTGGTGATGAGGTTAGAAGAACTGAATTGCACACAAAATGGATAAATTTTATTATATTCTGCTGAAGCAGAACACATACAGTATATCTAAGTAACATACTGTAAAACCATTTATTCTCACTGAAGGAATGATTCAGTGAATATAAAATCCAGCGATACTTTCTTCCGATATTGTACATTCAACTTGACAGAAATCAGTGAAAATAAATTCCATACAAAACACCCAAAAGATCTTTTCAGCGAAAATTAATTCCAGCTAAAATAAAATATTTTACAGTAACGTGAATCAAACTTTTTATTAAAATAAGACATCTGAAATGCCCATAACACTTTTAAACACAATAGTACAGTGTCTCATGTGAAATAAAAACTATTGTTTCCACTACCAGATGTATAGTAATGTCTCTCATCAGAGGTACATTACTTGGGGTTTGCAACTCGCATAGTACTGTATGGTGACATCATGTCAAGATCCCATTCAAGTCTCATCTCGTAGATAGCGAGACAGGTGCTACGAACTTCTGACATGACATAGGCGGTTTGTAATAAAACAATAAAACATGTATTACCACGTTCATAGTGAAAAAATGTAATACATCGAAAATGTACAGAAAATATAGTTATCGTAATCCGTCATATCGTGAGCAGCTATTTTGATCAACCTGGACATCCCAGTATCCTAGTTACCTCGGGCATGCGCACTCGCATTTTTCTGAGTTGGAACGCTTATGCGGGAGCAAGATTGAAACGGGATCTTGGTATCATGTCACCGTAGTTACAAACCCCAAGTAATGTACCTCTGCTCTCATACATCATTTCAAATTTTATGATCAATAAAACTGAAGAGTAAAAACATCAATAATTCAATATTTCACAATAGGTCACTTTAGTTGTACTTCAATCGTACTCTTGAATATGATTTCAGTTTTACATTTAATGGCTTCCATTTACTAAAATGTTGTCATGGGGATCACACAATGTTGGTGTTGCTATGAAAATTTTTTTCATCAGGCCACTCAATGAATAGAATTCACTTCACCATATTAATTATAAAGTAATAGAAAAACTAGGAGGAGGGTTCACAGGTTTAACATTCAAATCGTGACTTGCTTGTATTTGACACTCCACCTTTTTTTTTTTGATGCTGGTACAATTTATTTCTCAAAACAACATTTTTGTTGGTCACAGTACATGCTCTCCTACTACAGGCCTGTCGACAGTATATTCAAGAAATTTTTTTTTTTTTTTTGATTTTTTTTTTTTAATATTTAGTCTGCTGTTTCCAGAACATACTGACATATACATTCTTGACCAATATTCATGAATATTATTATATTTTGTTAGAATACTTGAGAACACATATGTGCTATGTTCCCATAAATATATTGCAAATATGCTCAGTACTGGTAACTGTGTGCCCAATTTTGGAGAAGTGTGAATCTCTCTCCCATAGTGCATTGCACACATGCTCAGCTTGAGCAAAATTTTAATTTCTATCCTATAATGCATTGCAAATAAATGTACTATAAGGAGTAAAACATTTGAATTTCTCTCCCATAATGCATTGCAAATATTCTCAGTAACAAGCTCAGTTGCAAATTTTTTGAATTTTTCTTCCATACTGCATTGCAAATATGTTCAATAATGTACATACAGTTGTGAAACATTTGAATTTTGCTCCCATAATGCACCGAGAATATGTTCAGTAATTTGCTCAATAGTTCAAAACTTGAATTTCCCTCCCATAATGCATTGCAAATATGCTCAATAACTTGCTCAATGGTGAACAATATATGAACTCTCCTAGAGCCATGAATGCAGATTGTGAAATCAAAACATTTTCTCATATATTCGCAGATGGGTGTTTTTATTGACAAATGTCACACATAATTGACCCATGAAATCAGCTTTCAAAGTACTTTGTCAACCAAGCTGTCAACAGTGAGACAATCAGCTGGCTAATAGTAACCATGACAACTAAGGTTACCTCTAGGATCCAATCAATCTCTGAGAAACACATTTACTGGATACTATCAGCCACAAAATATCTTGATTCAGACAGATTTCGTTATTAGTAAATTTCAAGACCGTGTACAATCTCTAAATCAACAATACATAATACACATTATGTTACTTCACTTAAAGAGTGATGGTCAGGCAGCATGTCTGTAAATTTTTTGCAAACAAACAAGGTATCTTACATGGAATGCGTACATCGTTATATGAGTCCCATATCGAATGACCAATGTAAGTAAATGAAATTAAAATTAAAAAAAAAATTTATAGAAAAATACATAGAATTGTGAAAAATTGAAAAGTACCAAAATTTCGACACGGGAAAAATATGGTTTTCAATAGATTACAATTGAGGGTTAAAGTTTGATGTTTTATAGTTGACATTCATGCATTATTAAAAACGTGCAAGTACCTACGATCTATATATAATTCAAAATTAAATTCTTTTAAAATATTAATTAGGGCTGATATGCATCAGTGATTTGAATTCATTTATAGAGCCAGTGAGGAGATGAACTTCGTGAAATGAATTGCAAAACATTTTTCATTAAATTATTATACGTCTTTATAGACAATCAGTGGACAATGACAATTCCCAAGGCAATTTGAATTAAAACATTTATGTTTGGTGAAATTTCATTATTATTAAAACAATTATTAGATGGATAGATGAATGAACACATGGAAGGATAGGTGGGTATATGAATGAACACATGGAAGGATGGGTGGGTATATGAATGAACACATGGAAGGATAGATGGATATATGAATGAACACATGGAAGGATAAATGGATATAAGAATGAACACATAGAAGAATAGATGGATATATGAATGAACACATGGAATGATAGATGGATATAAGAATGAACACATAGAAGGATAGATGGATATATGAATGAACACATGGAAGGATAGATGGATATATGAATGAACACATGGAAGGATAGACGGATATATGAATGAACACATGGAAGAATAGATGGATATATGAATGAACACATGTAAGGATAAATGGATATATGAATGATCACATGGAAGGATGGGTGGGTATATGAATGAACACATGTAAGGATAGACGGATATAAGAATGAACACATAGAAGGATAGATGGATATATGAATGAACACATGGAAGGATGGGTGGGTA